TCGGCTCGACCGGAGTGATACCACGGCCTCACAGAAGACCAGCCTGAAACAACCACAGCGTTGTGTTTCGCCGTGTGAGTGAGGTTACCGGAGGCCCAATCCATCCCCGCCCCCAATCCCTCCTCAATCCCTAAATCTCCAAATCCCTAATCCCTAAAAGGTCGGCAACGCACTTGTAAATCCTCCGTTGCGGGTGTCCATGGGCGGCGCTGATTGCTTACCATCAGGTAATCCGTCGGCTCGTTTGCCGACCAAGACATGATAACAATAAAAAAGAAGAAGATCAGAAGAAAATTATTATGTATGGAAAGATAACGTGTTATCCATAAAGTTACATTTAAGATTCTAATTACAAGTAAGAGGTCTTAGTAAATACATACGAACCGAAAATTTTGCCGTGCTATGACACAAGCAATCACTGTTATGGCAGTACAGGCAAGTATTTCAATAACTTATGTTTTCCCTCTTGGGAAATACGGTGAAGATACAACGTTGTACTGAAAAGTTCTTGGCAGTGGTTTCAAACTTGTTTTCAAGTATAAACATGAATAGTGGCTGTATTCATATAATTATACCAGTATACGCATAATAGAAAATAATTTAAATCATAATTGTAGAGATATAAGTAATAATAAGAAATATATTAAGTGATAAATTATCTTTAATATAAAATGAAGTGTGCCTTTCGGAAACCGGGGGTTAGTAGGCTCCTTAGCCTACTAACCCCCGGTTTCCGATCAATGTTAAAATCAATTTAATCTCTTGTCAAGTCATCTGATTGGTTGACTGAATTATCAACAACCAATCAAATGACTTGACAAGACATTTAACAAGAGATTAGTTAATTTTAGCGTAGCGACAAGCCTTTCAGAAACCGGGTGTTAGCCTTTCAAAGTAGTCCCGAGCGTACGGCGCCAATAGACCACCACAGACGGGGCCCTATAGGGCTGATGTTCAGCCGGGGTTGCGGGGTAAGCGCAATGAGGCACCGCGACCTCGGCCCAGAGCAGGAGAAGGAACAGGAGGGTTTTTAGTCAGTAAGAGTCTGACACTCCCTCCCGCCCGGCCCTGGGCGGGAGAAGTCATTTGATGATTATCCCCTCACAAAAAAAAGCCTATAAAAGTAGTCTGGTGGCAAAATGTGTCTTAATTTTTTTATTTTGTGAATTTTTCTATGTCATCATATCACCAGAAAAATCTTTTCAAATAAACAGAAGTTCTTAAAAGAACACAACTCACAAAGTAAAGTAACGAAGTCTTCTCAGATTAATAATTACCTTCGAAGAGAAAAAAGTAAACTGCCCCTGGCCATCGCGCACCCTCGAATCGATTAAAAAATAAATACCCAGCTCTGCGTCTCTGAATCCAATCAAAACGGACAAATAAATAAATAAAAAAAAAACACTTAAATGCGAAAAAAAAGAATCAGAATGTTTAGCAACAGGAAATCTTGGTGCTCAACTTAAATCACATTAAGTCGACAAGGCTTTTTAACCTTCCCTCGTCGCGGGGGTAAATAACACCGCGACAGCCGACGGAGACGTGGTCGCCAATAAAACACTAATTTTTCCCTATTAGGGTAACAATACACTGAAAGCGATGATGATGCAATTTATTATTAAGGAAAATTGCATGAATTTGGTCTAAATCAAACAGTAAGATAATCTAATAATCACTACAGAAGTACTGCTAATTAAATACTGACGTCTCATACTTTGTTTGCTATACATATAGATACATCAATTCTTGGGTAGAGATACATAAGCTTAGTGAATATAAAAATAAATTCTCTCTAGTCATTTACTGATAGAAGGTGAGATATGTCAATAAGTAGTAAGTAATCAATCAACACTTTTTAAGGTTTTGCGAATACCAGCTACAATTTATATTATGGCTTTCTTTGCACTGGACAAGGCCCGAATCCTTGTAGATTGGACGAAACAGGAAATTAACTTTCGCCCTCTCGCGTGACAAGTTTATTAAGAACAATTTCTCTGTTTATTCGTTTTACTTTTTTGTTTCATTAAACACGGAGACGCCGGTTTGGGCGGTGCTTGCATTTTTTAATTAACCAATTTTCCCTTGAACGTTTACGGGTACATTTGATCCAGGTGGAAGGTAAAGGATTAAGGTACAAAATCCCAGTGATATTTTTATGTTTACTTTTTCTTTATAAGACAATTTTAGGACGGAAATGAATTAATAAAATATTATGGCTTGTTCTTCGCTATGGTTCACAGTAACTTTTAACGTTTCAACAAAAACTATTATGAACCAAAATAGCTTTTCGATCAAAACACATCTATTTCATCTGTTTAATATTTTACCTCAAAAATGCAATTTCAAAGTAAATTTTATGCTTTCACTGGCCCATTCAAGAACAGACTATCTCTCTAAGAATTCTGCAAATACGAACTCGACTAATAGTAAGTGCTCAAAAATTTAAAACGTTGCAGTTTCCAGTAGGTTTTTGAAGAAGACGTTAAACTGATTTACGACGCGGAAGCGGGGCTATTCTCACAATTCTGCCAAGTACCGCCAAAGAACATAATATATTATATGATTGAAGATGCGATGCTAATATGAAAATTGAGATGGCTTGGAAGAATGTGGTTAACGGTTGCACGATGCATATCCGTCAGTGGTATAGTCACCGACATGTTATGGAAAGAATGATGAAAATATGTTTATTTTTATTGTGACTGATGAATTGTTATTGGATATGGGGGTTGTTGGGCTAGTGGTCGCACGTGCAAGATACTGAGACGTTTTGGTGTTGTTATACCTATTTATAGCGTTGTAAATTAAATCGATGTCTTAAGTAGCTATCTGGTTATTTTTATGTCTTTTCTAGTTCAATAAAATAAGAACATATGTGTTCTTCCGTACATCATATTTATAGGTATAATAACATTAAAATTCGTAAACAATAATAATATACCTATCTACCAATTTTTTGTAGTTACAAGTTTGTATTATAATTATAACTAACGGCATACACGTGTCGATCTCGTTGACGTAGTATAGCAAATTCTTATAAGGCCATTTGGTTCACTCGTTAATTAAATACAAAAATAATTATGCAGAAACATTTTTCTGCCTACTGTAACCTCTGACGATATAAAATATCTATCTACGACGCCCTCTACTAGGAAAGGAAAACTTATAGTCGGCAATGTTCTGAAGTTGGAATCACACAGAGAAACATAGTTGCAATGTTGTGAATATTTGCTTTATGGCTATAGCCTACAACTATTGGGTTTGTACCCGAATGACCTATTCAGTTACTTTGTAAGTTAATCGAGTTATTGTATTGGTAAAGAATTGTTAGAATATTGTGAATTATTGCAAGTTATCCAATAAAGTATTTTGTCGGTTGATTAGAAAATATTTTATTACAGGGCGGCAAGCACAAGTAGTGTCATCACACTTTTTAATCCCTGATGCGGAAGCATGATAATTTACTAAAACAACAAATTCTTTTCGAAAAATTATGTTGTTCCATGAAGGTCTGCCTATCGCCAATTAGGTGACCAGCCGGTTCAAGCTAGTTTAAGTGTGGGAGAGCCATGCTTCGGCACGAATGTGTCGGCTCGACCAGAGAGATACGGCGGCTTCCCAGAAAACTGGCGTGAAACAACCACAACGTTGTGTTTCGCCGTATTAGTGAGGTTACCGAAGGCCCAATCCTTCCCTGCCCCCAATTACTCCTCAATCCCCAAATCCCTAATTCCGAAAAGGTCGGCAAAGCACTCGTTACTCCTCTGTTGTTGTGGGTGTCCATGGGTGGCGCTGATTGCTTACCATCAGATAATCGGTATGCTCGTTGGCTGACCTGTCACATGTGTCACAAGAAAGCCGTCTCAAATAGGTAAGTTTCGAAAACCGAAAAACTTGCTAGCACTTAACCTAATTCAGTTCAATAATTGGTATTTAATCATACACACTTGAAACTTTTTATATTTTATAATAGTAGCAAGCTATCAGTTCTTTGTACAGATGTAAGCTATTTTTACACTTCAAACGAAAAACACAAACAAATTGTCCAGAAAAAACGTTGCCCCAGTTAAGCAGTTTCCAGATTTTTCCGGCTGCCACACCGAGCGAGACAAAGTGGTGCCATCTGTCCTTATTAGGGGGAAATTTACCGATATTAATTTTGGTATTACATCGACTTTGTTTTATTGTGGACATGTATCAAAAAGTTTGTTTATTTTTTTAGTAAACCATTTAATGAAGGACACTTATAAATGATACTTAGTTAGAGATCAAGAAGTCTTGTGAATAATGATTTGTTATTTCTTTAATAAGTAAATGATTATTAAAATCGAAGGATTTTGGGAGCGGGACTGTCAAGAAAGGGGGTCAGACAAAAAAGTATCGATATTGTTGGTTTTTTAATTACTTATACATTAAACATAGTCTAAAACTACGTTCGTACTTGATAAGCAGGCATTTTAACCTACGGAAATAAAATGCAGTGGAATTAATAGAAATAGGCTCCATCTGTGGTCTCTCTTATACATGACACCATGACGGTTGACTCAATCATCATCATCATAGTCACCCAGTGGAGATCGACAAGATAAAAGCATTGGCCACCATCACGCGTACTTATGCACAATTGGCGAGCAAAAATACATTATTTTTAATAAGTAGATTGATCGCCAATCGTGCATAAGCGGTGTGCTAATGCAACTGTGTCAGTGGTGTCTTAATAATCTTAGGATAATATATATAATACATAAGTAACACAGAAAAAGACAAGTGCCAGGTTTTGAAGCCACTTTTATGGAAAATGGACTGATTAAGCTCCGGGACAACGATAAAATTTGCATCGACATTACTCATAGGGAAACACAAATAGAAAATAGCCATGATGTATAATAAAAAAAGATGCATATGTTTTATATGTGTCCAAACTTGACATACCTGATGCTCTGTATTCTAGTACCTACATACTTGCCGATACTAATCATAATAATGAATATGATAATCCTTCAAGTTTCGTCCTTAGCTTGGCAGGTAAAGTTTGAAGAGTATTCAACATTAGCATGCTGCTCACTTGAACTCAATCTGCGACTCAAGCGATCGATATGGATGAAGGCTGTTGGCAACTCTCTCGAGATTTGGTCAGCTATTGAAAGGTAAGTGAGAAATTGGTTAACTTACTCCTTCAGACAACAAAGGCATAAATGTCGAACTGAAGCTAAAGTTGACGAGATCATTACTTCACCCATTTCGCGCCAGTTTTCTGTGAGGTGGTTCTCCGGTCGAGCCGAACTTGAATTAAAAATTAAGAGAAATATTTACTAAATGATGTTGTTCTAGATGTAGACATCTTCCGTCTGATCATGGCAAAACTTGAGACTTGAATCAAAGTGAGGTTTAAGATTCTCTAAACAAATTTTATAAATTTGAGGACTTTTTAATAGCAGTTAAAGCATGATCTGCAATAATGAATATAATTACAAATCTGCTGAACTCGTATACAAACCCCTCTCTCCAGTCTCCACGTAATTAATATTGCATAAGTAATGAAATTAAATATTTGATGAACATAGGCATAAACTTGTAGTACATAGTCCGTCAGCTATGCGTCAACAATATAACTGTTTACATATCCTTCAGACAGTGACGACTACGAAGACGTAGAACTTGAGAACAAAATTAGACACATGAATTTTCTATTCAAGTATTATAAAGAGGATAAATTTGCAAGTTTTTATGTAGTTGGTAACCTTTGATCCGCTGATCGGATTTCCCAAATTCTTTGACAGATAGATAGCTACAATGTTTCTGAGTGATAGAACCATAAAACTTCACCCTGCGACTAATAGCAGCGAGTAAAACCGTAAGGCAGTAGCAAGATAAGTGTTAATAAAATTTGTGCAAAAGATACACATAAGGTTTTTTATTTATCTTTTCTTATTTTGACTCCTACATCTATATCCTGAACGTCTGATATTAAATACAGAATCAGCAAGCTATTTTAATAAATACTCAGTGGTTTGATTGATTTATTTACAGCCCACCTGATGAAAATCTGTGAGCCTCACAAGACAAATTACCTTACAATTTTTGACTTCATAATTTAAAGCACCAGGTGGTAGCTTCAGTAATCAAACCCGTAGCTTACTAGAGCTGGGGTAAATTGGTAAATTACCCGCAGTGGAGCCCCACTGTTTGCCCAGCGATCCCCTTGCCCTTTTTGAAGCTACCTTGCATTTTAGTTCAAACAGTATTGATTGACGGCATCAAACTTTGATGGAGTATTGTTATGAATCGATTTTTTAAGTAGCGAGGGGATAGTTGAGTGCCATTGAGAACTTACTTTCTATGTTAATTTGTTAAGTTTTGTTCAAAAACTTTTCTTAGATAATTTTTCATTTATACTACGTTTTTTTTCATCATATCTATCTCCTATATCTTTGCAAAAATATGTGTAATACATAATACATATGTGCATGCAGTCAGCGCTACCTTGCGCCCAAAACGTTACCTTGAGGTATCCCGCAGAAAACGTATCCATATTTAAAAAATCTTCTGGTTTCTTGAAACAAGTGAATAATTCTAGCATGCTAATCAAATACCAAAAATTCAGTGGGTATTTGTTTAGAGGTAACCAATTAGAAATAGTGATAATAACGCTTCATTAACTCAACAGTTAAGGATAAGGAATAAAATTTAAGGTGAAACCAGATCATTAATGGTGTGTCATTGCTACTAAAAAGATATACTAAGTTAAATGAAATCAAAAGGTTACTTTTTAACATTTTATATAGGTACAAACATGTTAAAACACAGCAGAGTTTAGATTGTTTACATCATTAAGATAAAAAAAGATACTTTAAAAATGCAATGTCATCACATAGTCAGTTAAATTAGTTCGTTAATCAAATACAAAAAAAAACATGTTGACGAAAAAAGACTTCAGTTTTGTTCCAATTTAGATGCGGTTCTTTTTTACCATATAAATGTGTCCTTATAAACCCTTACTAGGCAGATTCTTTCCATGGAGTGAGGTCTAATTTTCCTATTCTTGATGAATTGCATTTCACTAAAGGATTGCTGTAAAATAACATACACTTTGTGTTTAATATCTTTTATAACACTGGGCTGGGAGAATACAGATTAATTATTAATTTCTAGAACTGGTTTCGACTGTTGTTGATAACCATTTAAAAACTATTTCAGTACTTATAAGTAATAAAATTGTTTGAAAACTCACCTATTTGATATAGCATAAAATGCATGCGGCTGTATTTCTGTCACAAAATCGCCAATCGAGCACAACACGCCCGCTATTTTAACTTTCCGAATTGCTTTTAATTGTTCTAGAAAAATAATTGTGATTATAAAAGTGTGGCGTGAATGGGTCAATTCGACTGAACAGACTTTAAAGAAAACTGTCATGAAACAGCGTTTCACCGTGTGAATGAGGTGACCGAAGGTCCAATCCCTGCCATGTTCACATCCCCAAAAACATTTATCCCCAAAAAAACGACAACGTACTTGCAACGATTCTGTTGTTGTTGTCCTTCTGCATCTATGGGCGGCGCCGATTGCCTACCATCAGGTAACCAGCCCGCTTGTTAGCCGCCGTATCACATAAAAATGAGAAACAAAATACGAACATACGCGTAGAGAAGTTTTGTCAGTCATTTATTCATTGTACCTTTAGCTTACCTTTAGTGAAGGCATGAGGCCTGTTTGGTCTCTCATACCAATGTCTATCAGACTTAATAGTTCGTTTATACTGCTCCGTTAGCAAGCAGTACAAAGTTTCTGGAATGTTCCCACCTTTGACGGGTTTCTCTAGCCACAAGGCTGCCATGAGTTCAACGTCTTTAGGATCTTCGTAAACCTCTATTAGGCGATTGAGGTGCTATGGATAGGAAAAGTCATCAGAATCATGCCAGATAATAATACAATTATTACTAAGAACGTAGGGAATAAAAAAAAATAGGGCTACCTCACAACTAAAACTGTCTTTTAAATCAGCGAAACTTGTATATTTTCGGTTGGTACAAAACTCTTTATAGTTTACGTATGGCTGGATACCAAAGTACCTTCCTTTCTTCAAATCACTGGTTGGCGCGTCCGAAGAAAACAGAATACCACCAAGCAACCGATCAGCCATCTGCAATGAAACTTCTGCTTTTGGTCTTGTGGTAATGGGATATTTTAAAAATGGATATCTAAAGCTTTCAGGTGACCCAAAAATAGAAAATTTGGGATTCAAACTAAGTGCCACGTTTAACTTACATCATAATCAATGGTCCAACCAGGTTTGCCACCTAATTGTCTGAAGCTGCCTTGTATAATGTGTTGCATGTTGTTATCGACAGCAAAAAATCCTGTTCGAGCAGTACCGTTAACCATTGGAAATGATCTAACATAATGCCCATCTTTATCGTACAGTCTGAAAATGAAATAATATTCTTTACCAAAATATGTATGAAAGTTAGAAAAGAAGATTTCAAACTTTATAAAAATGGTTGTTACTGGAAGGTATAGTTTGACTTCAGTTTGTTAGTTTTTTATTAAAACCGTGACTTTTTAGACTATTGAAAGAATTAATATTGATGTGAATCCATATTGAATAAAGCAAAAAAAGATATTCACAACTTTTTTAATATTACTAACTTCATGTTCGTCTTCTGTATCATGTGAAACCATCTCATTCCATAAAAATACTCGTCTGACATCCTCGGTTCAACGTTTTCATCGTACAAGTCCCTGAATCCTCCACGACCGATAAGACCTTCTCTGATCATATTCTTCTTTCCTATAACATTAAAGCACTACATTTAAAAATAATCCTCTGATAGCTGATAGTAATCTAGTAATAAGTCCACCCACCAAATATAATAGGTAACAGTTCATAGAAGTATATCTGCACTGATATAGCGATATTGATGTCTCTTGCGGTGTAAAATAGTCGCTTATCGTCCCAGGACGGGTTGAGTCTGTGCAGCTCACGTGCTATCTGGTTGTGGTGTCTGTATAGCAAGATGATCCAAAGGTTCGAACCAAGCACGTTGTTTACTTCTGAAAAATTAAGAATACCTCACGTATTGACTTTCATATTTCAATAATTCATCGATATAACTATTATCACAATTAAGGTTCCTACAAAAATATTTTCTGCCTAACGCATTCTTCTCTTCATCCGCCAAGATCAGTGTTCAAGAAAGTTACTCATCAAATTATCGTATTGAACAAGACAGTATTAGTATCATTCCGAAATACCCGACGTCATCAAAAAAAAAATGGAGGTACTTACGGTACTTATGACAGCGTGTTTCTCTAGGAAGTTGATTCTGATAGCAGTAGTGGGAATCCGGATCACTTGGAGGAAATAATTCTCCATCATCTTCTTCAATTTTCATTAAACCGTTCTCAAATGTTCTAAGTTGATTAATGAATCCCGGTCTGTATTCGTATATGTGCGAAAGATCGAAAAGAGGAGTTTGAAATACGATCTGAAAAACGAATAGTAATTTATCAATATTTTAAATTATTTAGGACAATAATTCATTTACATGTTTGTTAGCAGTTCATTATAAAAAACTACTCTTCTATAACAACGGAATTTAGTTTAAATACTTTTGAATCATCTAAATGGAATAGAGATAATAGTCTATCAGCCTGTTCGTCAGTGAAGCTAGTTTGTTACCCTTTCATCGCATGATTAATGAATTGAATGTTTTTTTTTAATTCTGTGACCTCATTTTATCTTCCACTTCCAACTGTGCCTACGAAACACTTACCCGTTCGAAAGTAGTTCCGTTATCCAGACACCTATACGTCTGGAAGCTTTGAGGTCTGGTGAGGTTCAAACACCTGACACCGGAGTATCTATGCACGGGATCATTGACTGGCACCTCGATTGGAGTGCATCTGTAATCCTTCTTGCCTTCTGGAGTGCAGCATGTAGTTATATTTTGAAGATAATTGACTGAAATAGAAAAGATATTGAAAACGCAATATTATACTGCCGCCCTGGCCTTTAGCTGGAGAAGGAACGAGGTTGATATGAGTCAGTAAGAGTCTGAATCTCCCTCTAACCCCACCTAGAAGAAGGCCCATCGGAGGAACCATTTAAAGATCTCACAGTATTATCAAGCATAGAAACAAAAAGAGCTAAACTTTTGGCTCTCTACAGCCAAAAGTTTAGCTCTTTTTGTTTCTATGCTTGATAATACTGTTAAATTAAACTCTCTGAATAAGTTTTCCTGTTATTGATACACGAATATATGTAAAATAATACCTACTTATGTCATGAGAAGATAGAACGTCAGAGATCATGAACAAGATGTAGTATGAGAACAGCTGCGTTATCTTCAAGTCAGTAGTTTGGCCCATCAACAAGAGTTCCGTTCTCAGTCTCCTTGGTAAAGGTAAGGACGCACCACTGACTGCTTTTCTTGGTTCATAGTCTGAGCATGAAAATGAAGATATAGGAGGCTAAAGTATGATGAAATTCTCGTGGGTTGGTACGGGTACTGTAAAACTTTTTAATAATCATTGTATTAAATAAAATAACTATTCAAGAAAACTATTCGAGAAAAGCATTATTAGGTTCAAGTAACATCGGGACTTATTGTTGAACAAACAAACAGCGTACAGGCCATGGCTACATCGTTAAAGAGGTCCAAGGCCTGTAGCCGGGGTTGCGCAATGAGGCACCGCGACCTCAGCCCAGAGCAGGAGAAAGAACAGGGGGCTTTCAGTCTGACACTCCCTCCTGCCCGACCCTGGGCAGGAGAAGTGATTTGATGATTTTTGCCTCACAAAAAAGGCCTGTAGATTTTTTTTTAAAGTATCCCGAGTAGAATTCCTTTCGTTTCAATCTCATTAATTCGAGACACAATAGAAGAACAACAGGTTTTTTGGTGAATAAATTGTATGCTTACCAACGCTAAATACTGGTGGAAGTACTCTGTATAAAGGAGTGCGCTGAGTTCCTCTACTCGGGTGCTTCAAGTTAACACATGAGCCGTCCACTCTTCTCCATTCATTGGGGTCACAAGGCTCTATCTCCACCGTGCAGTTTCTTAGCAAAAAGAGATCCATTTAATAAAGCCATGAAAATTATTATAGAATTGTTAACATTCAAAACCTCTGAACGTAAATAAGTAATAAGAAGCAAATTGATGAAAGCTATGCGTACTAGCCAATACAAATTGAGAAGACAGTCTATTTGGACATAAAAACGAGCAAAGAAACGAAACAGTGGATATATTAGAAAAAAATGGACGCCTAATGGATAACCTAGTCGTAAAATGGGACGTCAAAGTAATTGTAACTCATCCGGTGTTCATGGTTAGCGACGAGCAGGTAAAGCGCTCGAAGGACGGACATACGGAATTGCCGTTCGACGTGGAGGATTTAGTGCAAGGCCTTTGTTCAGCAGTGGTGATGATTTCTGATGATGATGATAAAATGTGAGACATTTAGGATTTCTCTGCCTAAACATCATTAAAAGTCTTTGAAAATTTTGGGTTTAGATCATCACTTAGTATCGGAAAAATACATGCAAGCGTTGTTTCACGGGACGTGAGTTTCTTCTTTCTTTCTTTCTGCCGTGGTACCGCTCCTTCGAATACTAAATACTCACCCTACATTGTTCCTCTCTTCATAGACCTTCAACAGTGTCCTATTGATAGGTTTCCCAGTGAAACAATCGTAAAGAATTGCATTCGATGTACCAACACACATACAAGTGGACAGAAGCAGTATTTTCAACATTTTAACGTTTTTCTCACACACACATTGAAAATTACTGAATTGACTCAAAAAAAATATTTTATTATTGTCTTTGTTTAAATTACAACTATCCTCTATACATATTTGCGACCAACTAATTGTAAAAATAATATACACGTATATAAAATAAAAAAAATTTAAACATACAAAAAAATGTCTCAGTAATATTATTTTGCTTCGTTAATCATCGTAATTCTTATTTGCATACAATTATTTAAATAAGACGCGATTAGCTATAAACTTAATCTAATTAGTTCATTCATTTATATAAAAGAAATTAATTTAAAACATTAACAACGGATAATAGTGTTGGCAATAGATTAATTCAGTTTAAAATAAAATTGGGAATACTTAAATTAGTATAGCTGGTAATGTCATTATACCTATATTTAAATACTAATGACTACTTAAAAATAAAAGAAACAAATACATAGACCTAGAAGACAAATACAGAGAGAGTTTTATAAAATGTGGTGTTCTTTTAATCGACTGCACGGTTGGCGCCGCGCGGCGGTGGCTAGGCAGTTGGCTGTGTCAACGTGTCGCAGGTTCGATTCCCGCACGGAACAACTCTTGTGTGGTGTGTATGACAAACTGTATGTTTGTTAACGCAACCACGACACAGGAGAAACTCCTAGTGTGGGGCAACCTTTTTTTTAATAGAGAAAAAAAAAGAAAGACAGAAAAAAAGAAAAAACGATGTTTAATTTATTGTAAATGCACTAAAAATATTATTAAACGCGAAACATTTATTTTTAATTAACCAGTGTAATTAATTCAAATGTTTATAATATTTATAATATAATTTTATATTTATAAAATGTGGTCCACTGACTAATCCATATTTCTTATTCTCAAGGAATACCACTTCGTCTAAGGACTCCTGTAAATAGGGTCTCCGGTAACCTCACTCATACGGCGAATCACAACGCTGTGGTTGTTGCACGCCGTTTTTCTGTGAGGCCGTGGTATAACTCTGGTCGAGCTGACCTATTCGAGCCGATACTTTGCTCTCCCACTATTCAATACTAACTTTATATAAGACTAGCTACTCCCACGCGGTTTCACTCGCTGCACGCCTCCATTTGATTGTAGCGTGATGTTTTATGGCCTATAGCACTCGGGAACATTGTAGCTACCAATCAGTGAAAGAATTTTGGGAATCCGACCAGTGGTCCAAATATTACCCACCTACATACAAACTTAAAAATTTAACCTCTTTATAATATTAGTATAGAAGAGGAACAATTTTGAGTTAGTATTCAAATTATTTAAAATCGAACAAAACCCTTATCCCTAAAAGGTCGTCAACGCACTCGTAACTCCTCCGTTGCGGGTGTCTGATTTTCTGTCTGTGTGTTCTGGTGCGCTGATCGCTTACCATCAGGTAATCCGTCGGCTCGTTTGCCGACCAATTACATTAAAAAAATCTCTTAAAAAAACTCTTGTTACTGGTTTCCCAGCGAAACAGTCGTAAAGTATTGCACTCGATGTAATCACAAACACGTGAGTATAAGTTGTATATTTAACATTTTATTCATCTCGTTGTTGGGTTAAGTCAAAAATCGTTTTTAATTTTCTCTTTGGGATTATTAACTCATAAAACGCTATAAATGGTTAACAGTTGACAAGTGAAGACAAGACAGAAGTCGAAGTTAAATATGAAATTTATTTAAAAAGATAAAAGTATATAAATATCTTTTGAATGTAAATAATTAAACTAAAAATCGCGGATTAGTCACGTGAATAATATTGAGAAAAAGCTCTACTAGTTTCGAACCACAGAGCGGTTCTTCCTCATGAGCTGCGTGCGCGGACACGGCGATGTCGCGTAGCCTACTTTTGGCTTTTACTTAATTTAGTATGCCTCACGACATTTATTATAAACGGTATAAGTCTTATGGAAGTGTTTAATTTATTATGCAAATTAGTTCCAATTTTTATTATCAATCATTTGTTTACAATTTCTCATAAAATAATAATGATTAAACCTTATCATTCCGACATTATTTTGCACTGACATATAGATACGTATAAATGGCCAAACCTCGGTTATCGTGCCAGTAAAAGAATAAAAACACTTTTTTATAAGAAAGGATCGCAATCTTTGTTTTAATAATAGTTTTTATTATTTTGAAGGTTTTAAACCATAACTTAATAAACAAATAATTTGTTACGAAAATAAAAAAAAAAACAATTATAGTTTTGTTTTTATAATAACTATCGTGAGACATACTAAATTAACTAAAATTCGCGGGTTACTCACGTGTAAATGATGAGAAAAGCTCTACTAGTGGCGGTGTGTACATTATACCTTGCGACTGTGGCTCAAGTTACATCGGAGAAACTCGGCGCAACATCACAACCAGGCTAAAGGAACATATACGTAGCGTGAAGAAGATGGACATCCAGGCATCGGCTGTGGCTGAACATGTTTGCGGCACGGATGCGGCTCACTTCATACGTTTTGATAAGGTCTCCGTACTAGCGAGGGAGAAATACTTCGTTCCGCGAAAAGTGCGAGAGGCCATCGAGATTAGCCGACGTCCGTGCTTCAACAGGGATGGTGGCTGGGCATTGCCACCCGCGTGGAAGCCGAGCTTGGAGACTACGTCGGTCCGAAGCGTATCCAGTCTGGAGTGTGACACAGTAAGCGTCATATGTAACACAGACTTTGTGCCGGGCCCGGAATCGAACCCACTACCCGCGCCACTGGTGAACGTACCGTGCGCCTCAACATCGTCACACGCGCCGCCGCCGGAGATGGCAGCAAACGCGCGTGGTATCCGGCAGATGGCGCGTTGGACTCGCCGCAGCGCAACCATCAACAGCGATGCAGGCGCCAACGCTAACCAGTAGGCTGCGCGACGTCGCCGCGTCCGCGCACGCTGCTCATGAGGAAGAACCCCTCTGTGGTTCGAAACTAGTAGAGCTTTTCTCATCATTTACACGTGAGTAACCCGCGAATTTTAGTTAATTATAGTTTTATAGGTAAACTAATACTAAAATAAAAGAAAATAATTTATACAACAGTTTTATTCATGACAATACAAAAAGGTGTCAGTGCTGTGAACAATCGGAAGGGTTTCAAACATTAAATTAATAAATCAATCAAGTTTTTTTTTGGACAAGAAGGAATACAACCAGATGAATCACCTGGTGGTTGTTTCTTGTTTTCTCATAAAGTAATTTATTTTTTAAATATTTCATTACAGTGCAAGCTAGCAGCAAGTTTTAACTGAATATGTTTTTAAAATGGTAAACAAAAATAACAAGAACAATGCGTCAACATAACACAGCTAGATTTTGTCTATTGAATTTTATTACTTTTTAATTAAATCTTATATTTTACAAACGCTTCTATGATGATGTAGTGCATTTTGTATTATCTGCCCAGTATGAGTAGTCCAAGTTGGGAATTTCATCACAACTGACGATCTCGTTTCTGTATAAGAAAATATTGGCATTATTATCAAATAAATAAAAACATTCATCTATCTATTCTCAGTTTAAGTGTGCGAGAGCCATGGTTCGGCACGAATGGGTCGGCTCGTCCGGAGTGATACCACGGCCTCATAGAAAACCGGCGTGAAACAAGCACAGCTTTGTGTTTCGCCGTGTGAGTGAGGTAACCGGAGGACCGATCCTTCCCCTCCCTCAATCCCAAAATCTCCAAATCCCTAATCACCAACGTACTCGTAAGTCTGTACTCGGTCTGCAACGTACTCGTAACTCCTCTATTGTTGCGGGTGTCCATGGGCGGCGCTGATTGCTTACCATCAGGTAATCCGTCTGCTAGTTTGCCGACCTATGATAGAAAAAAAATCTGCATCGGTTCAGTCGTTTAGCGTGATAGAATAACAAACATACATCCATATATTATTACAAACTTTCGCATTTATAATATTAGTAAGATAGTAAGTTTTCTGTTCAGTGCTACTCGTAAGTAGGTGAATATTCGAAAAAGATGAGGAGATACATACCCAGTCGTAGGTAACTCGTATGCATTGGGCTGGATTTCAGTGACACCGGGTCCGATATCACACAGCATACGCGCCAAACTTACTTTACGGATTTGCGCTAATTGATCTACATAAAAATATCACGTTATTAAAGTTTTTTAAAAAGACCAGCTATTAAGGTTGAATAACAAAAATAATCGGCGCCGGCTCGACCAGAGGAATATCATGACCTCACAGAATACCGACCTTAAATATACCGGAGGCCCAATCCTTCCTCTCCCCCAGTCCCTAAATCTCCACATCCCTAATTCCCAAAAGGTCGGCAACGCACTCGTAACTCCTATGTTGTTGCAGGTGTCCATGGGCGGCGCTGATTGCTTACCATCAGGTAACCGGTCTGCTCGTTTGCCAGCCATCACATAAAAAAGCATTCACGTTGTGATTCCAGTCCTTACCAAACATCTCCAAAATACCCTCTTTCCTTAAATTCCTAATAACCCACATACGGCCGGCAAAACACTTGAAGTACGCCTTCAGTATAACTAATGTCCATGGGTGGTGTCGATTGCTTATCGAAAACAAGTAACTCGTTTCCCTTATAACGTAAAAAAGGCTGCCAAGTAAGACAACAACGACAAAAAAGAAGAATAAATTGTATGAAGCATCATTAGAAAGAAACAAAAGGCACAGAAAGCGTTTTTGCTCCTCTTACTGTAATACTTGACTCACTAAGAAAACCTAGGAGGAAATGTATAGAAAGTGCTTACCAGCAGTGAAAGCATTTGGCCTTGATTCTCTTTCATACCAATGTCTGTCTGAGACTATTGATCTCTCCAACTGTTCCTTGACGAGACAGTAGAAGGTGGGAGGTACATGTGAGTTCTCTTTCTTCTTCTCCACCCATATCCCGGCAAGTAGGTCGATGTCAGTGACGTCTTTGTACAATTGTTTCAGCTGCGTTATCCTCTGTAATTATAAAATTTATAATTTATTTCCTATCATTGTATATATCAACATCTATATTTAAAATTTTAGACACATTTTAAAGTACATTGCCGTGTGACGATAGATTGAGGTTACCGGAGGCCTAGTCTTTTCCCGCCACCCATCCCTCCCCAATCCCTAAATCGTCGAAATCCTTCCCCAAAAGCTACACGAACTCGTAACTCCTCTGGTGCACAAAAAACATAATATGTTACTAATAATAGCATTAATATTGATATTGGCACTTCTTGTTATATTACTCATAAGAAAAAAAAAATAACTATCCCTCACCTCAACATCAATGATATCACTTAAGTCATCGAAGCTGGTAATGGAATCACCGAAGCAGTGGTTCCTGTACTCAGTGTATCCTTTGAAACCAAAGTAACGGTTCTTCGCCAAATCATTTGTCATAATGTCATTAGACCTCTGGAGCCGACCAAGACCTCTTTGAACAATCTAAAAATATCAATGAGTCAATTAATATTTAACTCAGTATGGAAGTTATAAATCTTAAAAAGTTTGGCGTAGCTATGTAGGTATGTAAACACACAAAAGGTAAAAATCTCACACTCCTTTGTCTTTTCCCCCGAAAGCTATGCGCTTTTTAAATGTTGACAACACAGAAAAGGTATGCATACACACATTGGAACATAGTAAGCGCAACCCAGAATTCGCATACTTTGACGTTTTTGTAAGGATATTTTTGTCTATGAAATAAAATAGTAAATCAAGTAGTCCTTACATCAGGATCAGCAATGTAATCATTAGAATTGGCTGTGGGCTGTCTAAAGAACCCTTGAGTCACGTAGTCCATGGTGTCGTTAACCTTCAGGAAGTCAGTGTTTGAGGTGAGGTCTACGATGGGGAAGGTAGATTTGTATGTTCCGTTAGCGTAGTACATTCTAGAAAAAAAATTATAGTTGAAGTAACAATGGAGTTGACAACACAAAGATAGGATGTCAAATTAAGTGTTATTGTTGTGTTATTCTCATTTAACGTTGGATTTTGTCCAATAACCATGTCACTACTCACTACGGAAAATATCGCTTAGCTTTAATTTAATGAGAAAAAAAATCTCACCTTAAGTCACCGTCTTGTAGAGAATGCATCCATCTCAAAACTACTGGATACTCCAAAGCAATTTGTGGCAGTTTGGTATCGTCATATAGATCCCTGAAGCCTTCATCTTCCGATAAAATACCATCGGCGATCAAGTTTTCCTTTCCTTAAACAATAATAATGGTAAAAGTGATTATCATAATAGTGTAGTAGTAACTAGTAAAGACAAAGATGTCGGACTCACCCATCAAAGTAGCCATAAGTTCATAGTAGAACATTTGAACACCATAAGCGATGTTAATTTCCCTAGCCGTGTCAAAGAGCTGGTCATCTGTCCAGCAGGGATTGACCTCAGCAAGCTTGTCGGCGATAAAGTTGTGGTTGTTCCAGAAGAGAATAATACCCACAAAGTTGATTCCAAGAAGAAGATTTAGGCTTGCTGCAAAAAAATAATAATTAGATTACTTAAATTGAGCAACCCAAGGTATATGCGAAAAACAGTTAATGTAAATTAAATCTGATGGAGTTAAGATAATTAGCGTTGAGGGACACGACTAAGAAGAGAAGAATAAGATTTCAATTGACAATTTGTGAACTAAACAAACTTATAGATTTTTAAACTACGGGTACTTACATGTGTCTGGGAAATTAATTCTGTCATTGACTGTTACAGTGACGAGCTTTCCGCCTGAGTTTGTGCGTCTTGCCTTTTCAATGGTGTTACCGTAAACAGGGGACAAGTCTACCAGGGGAGTAGCATCGACGATCTGTAAAATAGTAAGTTTAAATTTATAGCTGATGAATTTGCATAATTACTTTTGTTCAAAATTGAAAAAAAAATATAATGGAAAATCTTACTCTCAATGGTGTAGTTGTGTTGGGAGCACATCCAGAAGTCTGGAAGGTCAGGGGTCTGGTCATGTTCAAGCATCTGATTCCAGAGAATCGGTGCACGAAGTCATCTTTAGGGACGTGGTTAGGCGTGCAAGCGTAGTCATTTTTACCTGCACTCTTGCAGCAGTATGGTCTCCAAGTCACGTAGTTTGCTAGATAGAGAAGAATCAAGATAGATTATTTCTTAAATGTCCTGTTGTTGATGAGGGTGCGGTTTCGAGTTCCAATGTAGTATGTCCAAAATTATTTGAAAAACAGTTCTTACTTGTGTCACGAGTGTTAGTGATGTCTGTAGCAAAGAAAACAGCCATGTGGTTGATAACGCTGGTAAGTACCTCATCGTCCACTCGTCCTTCAGCCCAGATTGAAGTTCTGATTTTCCTTGTGAGGTTTAGTTCAGTTCCCGAGGCCGAAAGCCTTGGCTCAAATTCTGTGATGAACAAAATAAATTTTAGTCACAAATAGCACAAATACATAAATGTAACTTTATATAAAATAGATTTTATTGTCATTGCTTCACAAAAGAAGGAGATGTCTTCCCGGTTTCTCTCGCTCTGCGTCATGGCCTGTAGGCCTGTACAAAGGCCAGGCGCGAGGGGTGACTACTGCTGATCGCATCTAGTCTATCTGTCTAGAATATCTATATATATCTAATTCAATTTTGTGGAAATGTCTTTTATTTACTATTAAAATTGTGGCTACATCTTTCAGATTTGTTCAAACAAGTCAAACTTGGTTTTTGTGAGTGCCATTGTGACCTGAAACTCGTAAACCATTTCTCACGAGAGTAAGCCGTTCCATTTAATCAATTTAGAAATTACCTGAACTTGATTTCTTGTGGTAAGATGCATCGAGGATTCTGTAGTAAGGAGTGCGAGTACCACCGTATGACGGGTAGTTCAGGTTGTTACATGTTCCATCAATACGCCTAGCTTCAGTTTCATCGCAGGCCTCCACCGAAATTGTACAGTTTCTGCAAATAGGATACCCTCTTATCAACTAGATAGAATGTTTTTTGAGAGTATAAAGCTTAAAGACTGGTTGGTCAACGCCGTTGCTTCCTAGATATTAAATACTTCTAGCTTTATAGTAATTATCAGAAGTATTATGTTATAAAGATTTATGGGTTTTTAAGTCAAGTGATTTCATAATTAGTTCATGGATTTGGAAGAGATCTTTACCTGGTGAGAACTGGGCTGCTTAGTGCGTGGTTACCAAATACAAATAATAATAACTTCTTCAGCTTCCGTCCGTAGTTTCGCAAGCGGGTAAAAGTAACGTATCCTAAGATTTTAGGAACACCAGCATTTAAAGCTACGACTTAAATACGCAATTCAAGTATAATTTATAACCAAGTCAGGAACATTGTAGCTAAAAATTAATGAAAGGATTTTGGAAATCCGACTAGCGGTTTCAAATATTATCCCCTACATAAAATTTGTAAGTTTTTATGTACGGGATAGTATTTGGGACCGCTAGTCGGATTTCCAAAATCCTTTTATTGAGAAAGAATGTAGCAGGGTCATCCAGACATGGTAAAGGTCGACCAATAGTGAAAATTTAAGTGACTTACGCAACGGTGCCATTCGATGTGTAAGCAGCAACTTGAGAAGCGGTCAAAGGTAAGCCATAGTAGGAACTATAATATGTCGCATCTCCCAAAACGGAACAAATAAACACAAACTGAAATAAAATTATCAACTTGTCCATCTTGGTTAGTGACGAGGATTGACGCTCAGTCCAAATCTTTGGCCTTTATATTCGTACGTATTCTTTGAATAATTTTATTACATATTTTATTTAGTGGTTCTGTAGCATTTTTATTTTACTTATATTGATTATTGGAAGTATTATGTAATTCTTTGAAATGCCCATATTTACTGTAACAGATATAATTACGAGGGCAACTGCTATGCTGGATAAATATTAATCCAATTTTATTGTTACAAATTTTTATGCGGATCTTTATGTTGGTATTGTCGAAATGTATCTGCTGTTTTATTAAATATTGAAATTATATATCGAATATCATCGAAAAGATTATACATGCAGATAATTGGGTCATACACGCAAATGGCGAATTAGTATTTAAACCAAAATGTGACCTGAAATTATTTTGAGAACCCAAATAAAAGTATTTTATTTACTTTGTTACAAAACACGGTTCTTATTGTAAGGACTGTTTATATAAAATTTTACTTTTAAATTTTAATTTGGCTTGACACATGTGTTTAGTCAGGTGACCCATCAATTACTATGTCAATGTTGATTTTCAACATTTTTATAGTCTTTTTCCTGAAATTTAGACAATATTTCATTCTTATCCATAAATATAGGTATTTGCAATTTTTTTCCTAGGTTACATGCGTGTGAGTACTTAAGAGTGTGATCTACGCAATACCCGAGCGTAGGGCAGGTAGCGTTCCTGTTGGCACCTCGTTGGCACATAACTTTATTTTATAGAGTCCGTCTGACTAAAAACCCCCCTGTTCCTTCTCCTGCTCTGGGCCGATGTCGCGGTGCCTCATTGCGCTTTCCCCGCAACCCCGGTTGAGGCACAGTACGCTAACACCTGAGCGTACAGGAGACGGGGCCCTTTAGGGCTAATGTTGAGCCAGGGTTCTGGGGCAAGCGCAATAAGTCACTGCCTTTTAGTCAGAAGCTATTATGATGAGTTTTGATTCCTCTTATCATTACAGGTAACTAAATATAAATCCTATTGAATTTGGAATAATGTATGATTATTCAATTATAAATAATTAATAAGGTAAATGTTATGTTACACACATAGTCACGTTAAAAATGGACGGTGACCTTGAAATTTTGCAGACTATTGACGCAAATATTATTTTAACATTGACGCAAAATTCAGCATGTGTATAATGGGACGAGCCCCTATTAAGTGTAGGGGCAAACGAGAATCAAACTGCTGGTAAGCTATCAGCGTCATGGACACTCGGATTACCAAAGGAGTTAAAGTGCATTGAGGACTTTTTGTGGATACGACATGGCCTACATTCATCTATTTCAATACTCAAAAATATGGACTCTGAATGTAAAGGACATCCATTTAGCATTAGAATCACCCTCTATTAATAAAATTTATAAAAAAGGAAATGATATAAGGATATTGAAACTACTTAAATAATTATGAAAGTGGATGTGCATATGTAATAGAACTTAGGGAACATTGGAGATAAAAAAGGTCCTATTTTTTTAAATTAAACAATGAATTTATCTTATTTTGCAAATAGGCCATTTTTTGTGAGGGGAAAATCTGTGAAAAAATGACTTCTCCCGCCCAGGGCCGGGCGGGAGGGAGTGTCAGACTCTTGTTGACTAAAAACCCCCCTGTTCCTTCTGCTGTTCTGGGTCGAGGCCGCGGTGCCTCATAGCACTTACCCCGCAGCCCTGGCTGAACATCAGCCCTATAGGGCCCCGTCTGTGGTATCTATTGGCTCTTTGCCTGTATAGGCCTGTGTCTGTTCTACCGGTTCTTAGCAAAGTGTTTGAAAAGTTAATGCTATCTCGGATGCTTCATCACTTTGATAAACATGCCATCTTTCATCACCAACAATACGGTTTCACTAAAGGTCGTTGTACAACTGACGCCGGTGTCACTTTGATAAAGGAGGTATTCGGTGCTTGGGAGGAAGCACAGGATGCTGTTGGTGTCTTTTGCGACCTCTCAAAGGCGTTCGATTGCGTTGATCATGAAACACTCTTGCTGAAATTAGATCATTACGGGATTAGACATACTGCACTCCGTCTACTAAAGTCATATTTAGAGGATAGGCAGCTGAGAGTTCATGTAGGTGGTTCTAACTCACGGGGCTCTGAGATAAAAATTGGCGTACCGCAAGGTTCAATTTTGGGTCCGTTTCTCTTCTTAGTTTATGTTAATGACTTGCCATTTCTATTTAAAACCGAGCCAAGAATGGTGCTGTTTGCAGATGATACATCATTAATTTTTAGAATAGGTCGACGTGTTAATAATTTGGACGAAGTAAACAGCTCCATTCATCGAGTTCATAATTGGTTTACAGTCAATAATTTAGCACTTAACGAGAAAAAAACAAAATGTATTAAATTTAGCTTGCCCAACGTACACAATAATGATTGTGACATAATTTTAAATGGGCAAAAGTTAGAATTTGTTAACGAGACTATGTTCCTAGGTATTACGCTAGACAATAAACTTCAATGGGGTTCCCACATAAAGACGCTTTCGGGAAGACTGAGCTCAGCTGTTTTTGCAGTTAGACAGATTAGACAGCTCACAGACGTGAACACAGCAAGGCTTGTTTATTTTAGCTATTTTCACAGCATTATGTCGTACGGAATTTTGCTATGGGGTCGAGCTGCGGAAGTAGATTCAATATTTATTTTGCAAAAGCGGGCTATCCGAGCGATATATAACTTGTCCCCTCGTGAATCTCTGAGAGAACTATTTAAAACGATAAATATCCTAACGGTACCTTGTCAGTTTATATATGAAAATATTATGTACGTAAGGAAAAATTTGCAATTATTTGAAAAAAGAAGCGATAGACACAATTTTAATACTAGAGGCAAAGATAGGCTGGCTGTGCCACGATTCCGTCTGTCCAAAGTACAGAAATCCTTTATGGGGTTCTGTGTAAATTGTTACAATAAAATTCCAAGAAGTGTATTAAATCTTAATGAACGAAAATTTAAAACTTATATTAAACGCGAATTATGTAGACAGGCATACTACAAACTTTCAGATTATATTGAGGATAAGAATGCCTGGCAGCATGTTGGTTCGGCTCCACTGGACAATTCTCAAATATGTAGTCAGTAGTTATTAAAATTCTCAAAATTAATGAAACCTTGAATGAGTTTATATAGAAGCATTCTTTTGGATTGTGAGTACGCATATGTGAGCGCCATGTACGAGACAACAAAGGATTAAAATTTTAATGATAGATTAAATAGACCATAATTTGTTCCTTTTTATTAACAACTTGTCTCTGCATTGTTCTTACATAGGGGTACAGTAATGTATAAAAAATGTATTATTGATGAATTGTAAAACAAATATTTTTTTTAAAAGAGTAACGATGGAGTTTCTTGCTCGTTCTTCTCCATTCGAAACTACAATTTGGAACGAGCACCTAGCTTCACTGACGAACAGACTGACAGACTACTATTCTATTTTGACGTTTCAAAAGTACCTATTTATGGTTTATTTGGAATAAATGATTTTGATTTGATTTGATTTGATTTGAGGCGCGCGCGGAACGCTACGCGCCGTACGCTCGGGTGCAAATAGGCCATAAACCGGCACTTTTACTCTGTTAATGATTTAATTCAATAAATGATGTAAATTATTCAATTTTCATGGTTTTAAAGATACAATGGCACTTGAAAAAACAATGTTGACGAAAATATATCACACCAGCACCCAACAAATTCGTGGTTGTTTTTATGGGTTGCGACGGTTGTTATGTTCGAATCGATTTTAATTAATATGGAAATAAAAAATGATAAAGCCACGATAGGATTAAAAAACGTGATTGTACTTATTATAACAAACAAATTAAATTTCTGAAAGAAAATCAATAGATTTATTATTATTACTTTAACAAAATTTTTGGGCCTAGTGGCCCGACCTAAGCCTCAACTGTCTTGATGTTTAAGACGCTGGGACAAAACATTTATTACCAATACAAGTGATGTATGTTTTAGATAGGTATACATACGTAAATACCAAAGCATTTTGCCTCCCCTTATTATACAAAAATCCATCGCAGCACGTAGTTTGAACATGAAAACATAATCAACGGCTTAGAAGTCGGCTTATATCACATAATCTGGGAAACCGGAGACTATTGTTTACGGGAAGGACGGAGGAAAAATAAACAAAACGTTATTCAATCTACCCTCGTACTGTAAGCAATCACTTGATGCTATGGAAGACGACGACGGACGTGTGGGCCACGAAGACAGTGAAACCGCGTTGAAATTAAAGTTCACGGGGAAGGTGATATGGCCCATGATTTTGCCCCAGTCATCTGGTATCCGTCTTAATTTACGTCCAAACTTTGCTTGCTTGATGTATTTTCTTAGCATCAGCTAAGTTATAAAAAAGCTAACTTTTGTAGTAGTCAAATTCAATACTATAATCAAAGCGATATTTCGATTTAGATGTCAAATGCGATATTTTTCTATGAAATTTGTATGAAACTCCAACATTATGATGTCATAATGTTTGTGAGTCTACTTGACGCAAAAATACTTATTTCTTGATAATTAGCTTAGAAAATTTAGTGTAACTATCTACAGATCTATGAATAAATTATACTCGTAGTTATTTTTCAATATTGTATTGTATTGAAACGTCGAATTCATTGATATTTTAACTAGAAAACTACACTATTGTTTTCTCTGCTCTCTGCTTGAGTACTTGGCTCCAAGGTATTATAGCATTCATCATTATCATTAACTATGTTATCCAAAAGAGGTTATATGTTAAGGTATATTTTTAACATTATAATCATTAATACTTTGCGAGTATATATGATGATACTAGCTTTCGCCCGTGGTTTTGCCTCCGTGGTATGATGGTAAAAAGTAGCCTATATTCCGCATATTCCGGAGTGTATCCTATGCCTGCGCCAAATTTCATCCAGATTGGTCCAGTCGTTTTGGTGTGATTGAGTAACAAATATCCAAACATTTTTTCTTAGCTTTCGTATTT